CGGACTCCCCCAGGAATCGTTTTGGACCCCAGGGCCCAGCCACAGCCCCAAGTACGTCGCGCGGTCAGAGGTGCTGAAGCCAGCCCAGTCAGGGATGCCCCTTTCGAGCCAGCGCCTGCATCTCCGAGCAAGTGCGCCAGTGCACTCGCTGCCAAGCTGGGCGAGGCAGAGCACGGGAATCCCCGGGGAAAGATGCGACGCCCTGCGCTTGCCGAAAGATCTCGCGCACCGGTCCTAGCAGCTGCATCCCGCGGACCACAATATCTACGTCGTCGGCGCAAGCACGGGCTCTGCCATCATCTGGCCCATCAAACCCGACCGAAATGTCCGAGGGAACGGGTCGAAGATGACCGAGAAAATGGGCCCCGAGGCAGGACATCCGCGGACGCCCCCTCTCGCCACCCAGAACAGTGGCCCCCGAGCTCCACCGACGCGCCCATAGCACGCAAAGTTCTCTAATAGGATCATCAAGAGGGCTTTCAGAAGCCGAGGGATGCGCAAGGACACGACCAAGCTGCGGACCCACTGCTGCGACGCCGACGGGAACGCCTGCTCAGAGCCGAAGAAAACTCCAGCAGCCGAGCCCCCAGGCTCCACGATGCCCACCTCCCGCCAGAGAGCATCCAAGTCGACGACGCCAGCCCCGAAGCCCCCCCCGCCACGAAGCCAGTTTGCGAGAGGTCCAGGTATCCAGGAACACGTCTACTCAAAGTCAGACAGCAGAAACTCGCGATATTTTTGTTGTCGCCGCTTTTGAGGCCCAGGGGGCCGGGGTTCCCAAGCTCTCTCGCGAGGATAGTCACCCCGAGCATCTCGTCGAATCCCCGGGACAAGCGTTCGCCCCCAGGGGTGCAACTCACACTGTAACACAGGGCGCCAGCGCCACGAGGCGCGCGGATCCACGCGGCGCAGGGGGGGAAGCCAGGGCCGGGCGCCGAGCGCTGCGAGCGCCGCGGGCGCCCAACCACATCAATAGACTCAGACATGGGGATGCACAGGGAACTGGGACGGGAACTGCTGCGCGCGCGCCTCGTCGAATGCCCCACTCGTAAACACTTGTTCCCAGGGCGACCAAGCGCGCGAAGCGTCTGGGGCGGCCCCGACAGAATCGGCCCCCCAGGAATCCGAACTCCAGCCAGAGAAGCTCTTCGGTCGAATGGGGGCCACAACTGCGAGACCTCGTGCACGCGACGAGCCCGCTGACGTAGTTGTCGCTGAACTCGGGGGCCCCCATCGGCGCCCGCGGCATCGAGCGCCCGGGCAAGCTGTTTTTGGGCAACCTCGGAGTGCAACTGGCTCGAGGGCCCCGGGGAAATCTCCGGGAACGTCAGGGAAACGCTCGCGCCCAAAAAAACAACGGCCAGATGATCACGCGCGAGGAAGTGGGAGGCGCGACGACGCTCGGCAAGACGCGCATCCTGCCAGAACCACTGCACTCGCAGCACTCCGCATGACCACGTGCTTGGCTAGTGACGACAATGGGCGACGTAGTATGATACTGTTGCGTGCATGACGTGATCCTGCTATCAATATCTTGTAGCGCGCGCTTCTGCCAGCTCCCGAGTGCATCACTGGGCGCAGCCTCCACAGCCTTCGCCATGAAGCTCTTGAATTCGACCGTCTCAAACAGCTGCTTGGGGATCGGCCGCCGCCCTCTGGGCGGCGGTCCTCGAATCCGCGCTGTGATCCGAAATCTTCCGACCCTGCAAAACTTCGGGGCGACCCAAGAACCCCCCCCCCCTCCCGTCGCGAACTGGCTCGCGACCCCACCAGGGGCCGAAAGGAACACCCGATCAATGCAAGACGACGTTTTATTCACGCGGTGGTAGTGGGCGGGGGCCTCTGGTCGGCATTCCGCAAACAGTCCTAGACGTTCGCGCCAGCCTGCCGGCGCAAGGGGGGGGGCGAGCCGATCGGGGCGCTCCGCGGGAGCGCCAGGAGTCATCCGATGCCGGGGAAATGCGCCGAAGTTGAAATCACCCGCGAGCACCACGAGACGCCGCAGAGGATCCACTTCAGCAAGGGCGAGGTCGAGACGAATCGCATCGATGATCACCCTGCTGTCCGAGGCCGAGATGTTTCCTTTGTGAATGTTGCAATGCGAAATCCAAACAGCGTTATCGACGTCGGCGAATCGAGCATTCAGAACACGACCAGGCGCAAGAAGGAGAGGAGACGACAAAACGCTCAACACCGCAGCTAGCGGAGCGATCTTGGGAGCCGGCAGACTTCGGAAAAGGGTCACAACACCACCAATCCTGTGAGACAGCGGGGAGAAGGAGGAGGAAAAAGATAAGTCCTGATTCTGATGGCGGAGCATGTCGCTCACCTCAGCAGCCGCCCCGCGCGCCTCCTAAATCGCAACGATGACCCCATCTCGCAGAAGCCTGCCGAGGCACCCCTGTCGACGCAGACGGACTCTGCCCCTATGGTGCTGAAGCGAAATAGCGTCCCACGTCACTACTCGAAGGGGAACAAACTGACGGCCCTTGCCGCCCCACACTACACGCAGCTTGCTACAGATGCGAATCCGCGTCTTCAGCCCCACGAGTGAGGCCCTCGCGCGCACGTGGCTCCAGAGACGCTCGATCGAACCCTTCAGCCTGAAGGTGCGCGTTCGCCCACTTGATGATCGGATCCTCGTTGCCCTCCCTCGGCTCCACCTGCACCAGCGCCTTCCAGTTGTACCGAGATCGTGCCTTTGACCCGATCGCTGAAGACCGCGTGCCCAGGGTAGCATTCGTAGAACACTTTCCTGATTGCTCTGACGGCCTGTTCGGTCTTGATATGATTCGCATTCTTGTCGGGGCCCAAGAAGATCTCGGACCTGCTGCCCGAAACTGAGTCGACACACCGTCGAGCTGTCTCCACGGTTGCCCGCGCTGCTGCGGACGGAGCAAGCCCAGCGCCTGCAGCCCCTTCCGACTCGCCCATCCCGCCGTGTCACCGATGCGCAGCAGGAATCGCCGCCCTGTCGGCTCGCCCTCCATGCACCACCCGTTGGCCGCCAAGCTCTGGTCCACCATCCACGTGCTGAGCGCATCCGCCACCGCCTCCTTCGCCATCTGCTCCTTGCAGCGCACCACGATGACCGTCGCGTCGACCTTCCGCTCCCATACAGCCGACGCCACCACTGGTGGTCGCACCGGCTCTGCGGCTCAAGCCACACCTAGCTCCGTCGTGAGCTGCTTGATCTCGCTCTCCATTGTAGCCATCCTTGATGCGTGCTCACGCTGTACTTCCAAAACTGGTGCCAGCCGAGCACCCACTTGGTTGGCAAGACGCGTGCAGGACTCCATCATATTCGCCTGCATGCTGGTGGCCGTGTTCTGCAACGCCGACACGGACTGCTGGCATCTCTCCACGTCGCCAGTGAGGTCACCACGCAGCGACTCGATGAGCGCCCGCATGCTTGCGCCCTCGCTCGCGTTCTCGACGAGCTCGAAGCCACTGCCAGCTGCTGAGCCCTGCGCCACTGCTGGGCGCTTGACGCCAGTCTGCGTCGCCATCTCCACGAACTTGCCGCACACTCAACTCCAGTCGCTTCCCCGCGCCAGAGCGGCCCCAGCACCCGAAGGCAGTAAGTGAGGATGGACAAAAGTGAAACTGCTTGGCGTGAGCGGACCTCGCGTCCTGCGCTGTGCAGGCGACATGCTGGGCCAGCTGCGGATACCCCCAGAGCTAATCGTTGGTTCTGGGGCGTCTCTAGTCCTTCACAACGTTTATCCTTGAGCCAAAATGGCTACGGACCTCCTCCTCCTCCTCCTCCTCTTCCTCCTCTTCCTCCTCCTCCTCCTCGTCCTCCCCCTCCTCCTCCTCCTCCTCCTCCTCTTCCTCCTCCTCCTCCTCCCCCTCCTCCTCCTCCTCTTCTTCTTCTTCTTCCTCCTCCTCCTCCTCCTCCTCCTCCTCCTCCTCCTCCTCCTCTTCTTATTAATATTAGTATTCTTATTATGTTTCGGATTCTTCTTATTCTCTTCTTATTCGTATTATTCTGCTTCTTATTATTATGATTATTCTTATTATTATTCTTCTTATTATTATTCTTACTATTATTAGTAGTCTTCTTATTATTATTCTTATTATTCTTATTAATCTTCTTCTTATTATTATTAGTATTCTTCTTACTCCTCCTCCTCCTCCTCCCTCCTCCTCCTCCTCCTCCTCCTCCTCCTCCTCCTCCTCCTCCTCCTGTCTCCTCGTCCTCCTCCTCCTGCCTCCTCTTCCTTCCTCCTCCTCCTCCTCCGCCTCCTCCTCCTCCTCCTCCTCCTCCTCCTCCTCCTCCTCCTCCCCCTCCCCCTCCTGCTCTTCTCTTCCTTCCTTCCTCCTCCTCCTCCTCCGTCCTCCTCCTCCTCCTCCTCCTCCTCCTCCTCCTCCTCTCCTCGTCCTCTTTCCTCCTTCTTCCCCTCCTCATCATCCTCCTCCTCCTCCTCATCATCATCCTCATCATCAGCAGCAGCAGCACATCATCAGCATCATCAGCATCGCCTCATCATAATCATCATCATCATCATCATCATCAGCATCATCATCATCATCAGTCATCATCATCATCATCAACAGCGCAGCTCAGCAGCGGCTAAGATCATCATCACATCAGTCATCAGCATCAGCATCAGCATCATCATCATCATCATCATCTCATCAGCATCATCATCATCATCATCATCATCATCATCATCATCAACATCGCATTAGGCATCAGCATCATCATCATCATCACATCAGCATCAGCATCATCAGCATCATCATCATCATCATCAGCAGCAGCATCTCATCACCTCCACATCATCATCATCCACCGCCTGCTCCTCCTGTTCCTCCTCCTTCTCCTCCTCCTCCTCATCATCCTCCTCCTCCTCCTCCCCCCCTCCCCCTATCCCTACCCCATCCCCCTCCCCCTACCCCATCCCCCTTCCCTCCCCCTCCCCTCCTCCCGCGGGGAGCGCGCGGCCCCGAAGGGCGGGCGCCAGAGGCTCGAAGACCCCCCAGGCGGCGCCCGCCTGGTGGAGGCCGCCTGCGCCGCCGCCCAGGCCGCCGAGGAAGCTGAACGCGTCGGCGCTGGGGGGCCCGGGCGCGAGCCGCCCGTTGCGCAGGCTGCAGTGTGCACATCATCTCCTCCCCCTGCTCCTCCTGCTCCTCCTGCTCCTCCTTCTCCTCCTCCTCCTGCTCCTCCTCCTCCTCCTCCTCCTCCAACTCCTCCTCCTGCGCCTCCTGCTCCACTTCCTCCTCCTTCTCCTCCTCTCCTCCTCCTCCTCCTCCTCCTCCTCCTCCTCCTCTCCTCCTCCTCCTCCTGCTGCGCTCACTCCTCCTCCTCCTCCTCCTCCTCCTCCTCCTCCTCCTCCTCCTCCTCCTCCTCCTCCTCCTCCTCCTCCTCGTCATCCTCATCCTCCCTCCTCTTCCTGCCTCTGCCATCTTCATTTTCCCATTGTTATTATTATCCTCCTCCCTCCTCTTCTTACCTCCTCCTTCTTATCCTCCCTTCTTTTCCTCCCCCTTCCTCTTTCCATCTCTCTCTATCTCTATTCTCTTCTCCTCCTCCCCTCCTCCTTCCTCCTCTCCTCCTCTCCTCGACATCGTTCATCATCATCAATCATCATCATCATCATCATCATCCATCATCATCATCATCATCATCATCATCATCATCATCATCATCATCACGATCATCATCATCTCTTCTCATCATCATCATCATCATCAACCACAACAACAACAACACAACAACAACAACGGAACACAACAACAACAACACAACACCAACAACAACACCAACACACAACAACTAAGCAACAACAAGCCAAACAACAACAACAACAACAACAACAACAACAAGCAACAACAACAAACCAACAACTAACACAGACAACAACAACAACATCATCATCAGCATCGTCATCATCACACATCATAGAGCATGCATCATCATCGAGCATCATCATCAGCATCAGCATCAGCATCGCATCAGCATCATCATCATGCCTCAATCATCATCATCAGCAGCATCATTCAGCATCATCATTTATCATCAGCTGTCATCATCATCATAATCATCATCATCATCATCATCATCAGCAGCATCATCATCATCAGACATCAGCAGCATCAGCATCATCCACTCCTCTCTCCTCCTCCTCCTCATCATCATCATCATCAGCAGCATCATCATCATCATCCTCTCCTCATGCTCCTCCTCCTCGTGCCTCCCTGCTCTCCTCTTCCTTTTTCCTCCTCTCCTCCTCATCAGCAATCATCCTCCTCATGCTCGCTAGCTTCTCCTGCTCCTCCTTTCCTGCCTCACTGGCTCCTGCGTCGCTCCTCCTCCTCCTCCTCATATCATCTTATCATCGTCGCATCATCATCATCGCTACTCCTCCTCCTCGCTACTCCTCCTCACTCCTCTTCATCATCGATCATCTCATCATCCTTCTCCTCTGCTCCTCCTCCTCGTCCTCCTCCTCCTGCTCCTCCTCCTCATCATCAGCATCATCCTCTGCCTCATGCATCTGCTCTTCATGCTCCTCCTGTTCCTCCTCCTACTGCTCCTCCTCCTCCTCCTCCTCCTGCTTCCCCTCCTTCGCCGTCTCCTTATCCTTCGCCTTCTCCTGCTGCTCCCCTCCTCGCCCTTATCCTCCTCCTCCTCATCCTTCTCCTCCTCCTCCTCCTGCTCATGCGCCTGCTCCTGCTCCTGCTCCTGCTCCTGCTCCTCCTCCTCCTCCTCCTCATCCTCCTCCTCCACCTCCTCCTCCTCCTCGACATCATCATCATCATCATCATCATCATCATCAT